TCTTTCCGTTCTTGTTCTTGCTGACAACTACCAAAGGTTCGCCAAACCTTACGTTAGAATTCTTATTAACAGATATCCAGGAAATCTGCTCTGGCGGCTGAATGACACAAGGGCACCACGATCGCACCACCTCTGTTAGACAGATTACAAGTTTCTAACGTATGTGACTTACTGTTCGTTACGTACAAAACACCATAGGGCTGTTCGGTAGTAGGTCAACAATCAAGCAGCTTCCCTTTGGATAGGGAAATCAAACACAATAAAACAGTAACAAAGGAACACAGGACACCACTGGAACAAAGAACTAAGGACGTACTATACAACGTAACAGTATATAAACACGTGGACGTGAAGGGCACGCCTTCCTGGGCCCACGCAGCTCTCGCCCTGCCCTCGACCATTCAATATGCAGCCTGTGCTGCCCAGTACTTCCTCTTCCACCTGGGCAGCTGAGAAGCTCACAGCTAAGATTTTCACTCAATTTCAACAGATCACTAGTTCTGATTTTACTGTACCCTTTCTGGCCCCATATCACGTGGTTCTTGCCCTTTTATCCCATTTTAATAGGGGTGTGTGTGAACGTGTGTGAACGTGTGTTAGCTGTTGATCCCAAACTCTTACTGTAAGCTGCTTCAAATTCTTACTGGTTTAAATTTTTTTTACTGGTTATTGGTTTAAATATCTTTTTTAATGTTGATAATATTCTTTCATTATTTTTAATCATTATTTCAAAACTAGACTCTAAGGACTTACAAGGGTCTTGCTTCTAACATTTCCCCCAAAGGGTTTAACACTGCGCACACAGTAGGAACCCAGTAAATCCTGGCTGGCTGGTCAATATGTATTTTAAAAAGTCATCTTTTTGAAAAAGGCGAGAGGGAATAAAGCAGTGGTGGTAACAGATGTGTTAGGATGCTGAGGTTGTAGGTTTCCTTTTCTCTGTTTCAAATTCTCTGCATGGTACCTGTACCGTTTTTACAATTACAACTGCCTTATATTTTAAAACTCTAAAAAGTGATTATATGAAAAAAAAGTGATTATACTGAAGTGGGGTTCATTAGAACACGTTTCTTGGCAGAAACGAGTGCTTAACTGAGCCTCTTAAGGCAAAGGAAATGACCCGGGTAGACCTGGTGGGGCA